TCCGTCTCTCTATCGCTGCCTTTGCATCTCGAGACGAGTTTGCCAAGCAATAATTTTATTTTTAGTCGTCGCATCCTCTGGTCCGCGTTCTTTTGGCCCGGTCCCTGCAATATCCAGCCCGCAATATCCCCCTGTACTTATAACGACTTGCCGCTTGTGTTATTATCTCTGGGCATAAATTTAATGGCCAATATTCACAGCTCCACCCACTGTTGAAAATGTTTTCCTTTTGCCTGGGAGAGCGGAGAAAAAATGAAATTATTTGCGGGCAATGGACGTTGGTTAGGAAGGAATCCAAGCCAGCTGGGGTTAGGGCCTATAAATTATGATTTAGTTATGGCTTTTGGGTGTATGGGAAGTAACCCAGGCAAATTGATTTGAAGAGGCTACCCGAAGGTTGTGAAACGGACATTTGTCACAGTTGGTGATGGATGGAACGGCATCGCTTGGCGCCTTCTTGTATCTGCGAGATACAAATCACGGAGATACTTTTTCTGCCACACTTCGGTCTTGCGAAATCAGCAAATCAGCGGAATGGGTTTGCCAATACCACATGCCGTATTTGGAGCGGGAATTGCCCGGGGCAAGAAACAAGTTTCCATCGCCAGCCTGGCTGCTATTTTTTGTTTGAGCCATTTGACTCGCTCTGGTGTCAACCTAAGCAGTTTTTCTGTTCGCTCGCTCATTTGTTTATGCTCGTTCATATTCAGATTCCGAAGCTATTGACAGTTGAAATTGCTTACAAGTGGCACACGCAAAGTTTTTGTGGCTCTTCGCCCGCGGATTTCTTCTGCCTATTGTGTCTATGAAGTTGTTAAAATCCGCGACAAGTGCCACTTGAACTTGACGTTTTGGAGAAAGACTGAGGGAGTCGGACTGCGACTGAGAAACTGGGATTTCGGCGGACAGAGATGGGTAGAGTGTGGCAGTCTCAAGAGACAACGATACATTGTTGAAGTTGATGGCTTGAAGATTTATGCCACTCGAGAGCGCCAGCAAAAACTTAAAAAAGTTACAACTTTATGGGGAAGCACCTAAACATAGCAAAACTTCGCACTGCAATTTGGTAAATGTTTTAAGATAACTAAAATACATACTAAATAAGCTATAAAATAGTTTAAAGAACTTAAAAACACTATGACACACCTTCAGCAAGATTAACAAGAGACAATAAGACCGCTTGCGTAATTTAAACACAGTAAAAACTTTTTATAACAAACTAATAAACTAGTAAATTGGCATTTGAAATTAAAATAGATGTCAAAAAAATATCAAGAACACTTGTCTTATACCTTGAATTCCATGAACTACAATAAAGTTGTATATTAAAAGCTCAGTTAAAAAGACTTCTCATAGTCAATCTCTACTGTGTTCTTATGATTATGGCAACTTTTTGCGTGGTGCTCGCCTTGAGCTCGAAAAAATTGCCAACTGGCTATAAAAATTTTCCATACCCAGCACCGAGAACAAGCCAAAAGAGAGAAGCCATTGAAAATGAGTGGGAAAAGCGCAAGGAGGAGGAAATTTTGTGAGAGGCCAGAAGGACACCAACACGTGGCCATAAACTGGCGACAGGCAAAAACAATTTAGCTTATAGATTGAGAGGAAAATGTGCGGGGGATCGTTGTCATATTTTATGCCCAAATAGTTAAACGAATGCACAAACACACATAAAAACCAGCTGGAAAATTGCTTGTAAAACATTTTTGTGTGTGACATTGAGAAGGTGGTGGGCCGTAGGGGTTGCCAGAGGGGCGGCACGCATCTACAGCAAATCTCCGGGGCTCCTCCACACATTCCCATAAATCACAAAAAAGTATTTCCCATTTTTCCTCTTATATATATATATATATTCTCTACATTAATGCGCCTACACACATCTGTGCCTGGTGGTGGGCTGAAGGGGGTGAGGTGTTTTTGGGGATATTTGGTATGTGGCTGACGGCCTATTTGCGCCTCGTCGCCAGCGGGAAAATCCGGCAGCAGAAGCCAAAGGAAAAGCCAGAGCTAAAGCGACTCTTTGCCTGGCTCCTGCCAGTCGGTTGGTTACTTCGTTTTCCAGCTATTTATGATTTGAGCGCGACAATTTTATCCGCTTAGCCAAATACCCTGGGAGGTGAAGGGTATAATGTTTAATAGGGGGATATTAACAAAATAATATAATGCATTTAAGTAAGTAATTAAAAACAATATACACCTGATTTATATACTTTAAACTATATTAAACTCCATATATTTGTATCTCAAGTATAGATTTTGATGCATTTTTCCAATAAAAATGGACAAGATCTTCCTTTGAAGTTTATTTTGTTTTGATATTTTCTGCTCTTGTTTTCAAAATAAGTTAAGTTATTAGGTTTTAGATTTGTAATTATTAACTTTTTAATAAATATAACATATAGATAGATAAATATAAGATATAGATTTATTAAAACAATTTAAATATTGATAGATTTTTATGATTTTTAGAGATAAAGAGATATGCAGCCACATTTTATAATAATACAATAATATAAAATGGCCTTTAACCTAAGACTTAATCTGGAAATATTGTTTATTTAACATCACCTCACAAATACTAGGTACTTCCCGCTTCTTCCTAAGAACTTTTCACCACATTTGTTTTATTGTTTTTTGTTATTTGCTGATTTCATTTTATTTGCATGCTGATTTTCCCGTCCGCAGTTTGGCATGCACTGCCCGTGTTGTTTACTTAGCTGAAGCCGAATCGGGGGCCAAGAGGAAGGTTCTTTTTTTTGGAGGAAGTAGAGGGGCAGGCTGGGTGTAGAGTCAACCCGTTGCAGACTCACGAATGTTGTACAAATGTGTGACATTTTTGTGCGGTGGCATGGAAGCAATTCAAGAAGGGGGTTGGGGGGCGAAAAAAGAAAGGGGGTTTGGGTAGATGCCATGTGTGCGTATCCCCTTTTTTCGAACGACTCTGCCTGTTTGCTCTCTGCACACGCGTTTGGAATTGATTTTTATGCTGTGATTATATTTTCGAAAAGGTTGACGATGAGCCTGGGCCTATATGAGAGGGGGGCAGCCTCCATAGCCACTCCCCCTGGCTGTTTGCTCGGCAACAATGAAGTGTCGCCCCCGAGTCGAGAACACGCTTGAAAAAATATAAATTAAATTATGCGTTCATGTTGTTTTAATGGGTCTCCCCCATAAAGTCGGGGGTTTTGGTCTTTTTTTTAAAGGAGCTCTATGGGCCTGGCGGGGGTGGACAGATGCTGATAGTCAGTTGGTCGCTGCCCTCGACGCTTTTTATGCGCCTTGTTTAACGATCGGAAGTTATATTCATAAAAATATGTCAATGAATTGTGAATTATTTATGGGGGATAGCCCGGGAAAAAGTGTCAACCAGATAAATAAATTACAAGGATGAAAGGGGTTTATTTTAAATCAAATAGCCAGTGCCCTGCTTTTTTTAGCTTTTTTTAAGTGATAAAAAAGTTCTAATTGCATTAAAGAAAATATATTTACATGTATGTAAAATTTAAAGTGCAATGAAAAGAGTTTAAGCTGCAGTTTAAGTTATCATAAATTCATTTTTTATCATTTCAGTCAGTAATAAATCAGCAAGAACGAACTGAGAGTAAAATATCACATTTTGCCACCTGTTATTACTGACAATAGTGATAAATTATATATTTACAGACCGAATAGCAGGGTATCCATAATTAAGTGTCGAAAATAGCGATAAAAATTTCCACATACGTCGGATCAAACTGGAAAATCTCTTGAAAAACCATAGAGACGCCGAGCATAAATTGGATTTTCTTGCACGGCCCCAAGGCCTTGTGCTCAATTTAGTTAGAAAAATGAGTAGAAAAAACAGAGAAAAAATAGTTATAAAAATTGAAACTGAAACTTAATTGCAATTAAAGTTGAGTGCCGAAGGAAAGGCGAACGCAATGCGAGCGAAATGAACACCTTCAATTAAATTGAGTTTTGCGTTAGCCAACGACCTACTTTTTAGCATACAAAACACACCCAGACTCAAAACCGGCGGAGCGGAGAGCCAGAGGAGCGGGGACCCCGGGACAACACCCGGAGAGCCGGTTCCGGGCCGGACGTCACTCTGCACTCGGCCAACAAAGTGTTGGCCAAAGGCTTGAATTTCAAACGACAATTAGAAAATTTGCAAATTACATGGACATAGATAAGCTCTGGGAAAATAAAAAGAAAAACAAAGGTGAAGAGCGGGAATTTTAATGAAAGGAAAATGCAAAAAGCGAGAGGAGGAGCCAACAGCAAACTAAAAAGTGGCCCAGTCAGGTGGGTTTTTGGACAGGCACCCTCGGCTCGTCTTGGCGGGTGTTAAGTTGGTAATTTTATGCCCGAGTTAACTTTTAATTTGTGTAAATGATTTTGTGGATTTTATGCGCATCATTAAAATGAGTAGAAAATGCAGCCAACAGGGGGGGTATAAGACGGCGGAGAGCGGGATTTGGCTGAGACATCTCCGGATATATATTTTGATGTAAATGTGCGGCCGTAGCGATGCGATAAATGCCCAAGATAGTTGAATGCTTTTCGGGGGATTGACAGATAGACAGTTTAATGCCCCTTGATTTGTGGGTCAGCCTGGCCAGGGAATCACATTGACGGCGAGAAAGAGCGATGGTCTCAGTCAAATTAGGCAAATATCTCAATAAAGCTCAACAAATGCTCGGCATTTGGTAGGAAAGTCGGGGGAAAAACACATTAAAAACGCTTGATAGGATGGGGTCTTCAAAGTCATGGTTTTATTCGAATTCAAATTGATGGTAAAATAAGTCAATCAAAGGCGGCTATCCTAACGAGAAATGATTTTTATACTTTATAGAGAATATTTTATTTATGTTTTAATTTCCACAAATGCTAAGTATTAGTTGGAGTTGGACTTGGAGAGAGAGAGATTTAAGAGATTGAAGTCTTCATATTGAGTGTAAATTAGATATAGTAATGGTAATGGGTAACAGTTTTCAAGTATCATTCTCTTATTTACTTACCAGATGTAAACTTGATGAAGAAGTACCTGGAATGATATCAAAAAAGAAAGTTCATTAGCAAGGCAAACAAATCTTTTTTAATACACTAAAACAACATATGATGTAAGTTGTTTCCCGCATCTCCAGCAACAAAAAATGATTATATAATCAAATTCGTAAATGCTTTATTGATGGCCTGACATGTCTCGCATACGCTTACCCCCATACGCCCTGTTGGCCCAGCTGGAAAAGCCATTTGCCCCGCCGCCTTGGTTTTCGGCCCATTCTGAACTCATTTGAATTTAACACTTTTATATGAAACTCCCAAACGTCGCCGGCTCGTAAAAACAACAGCAACGGAGGAAAAAAAACTTTTTTGGCGCCGCACATTATTAAAATTTCTTTATGACAAGCGAGTCTGGCCAAAAGCAAGTTTGGCCAAGTGGCGTGGTAGGAGGGGGGCAAAGCTCCTCCAAAGAGCCGCTCCAAAGAGTCATCAACAGCCACAGCAAACGACGACAAAAGGCATAAAAACTGGTAACAAAATATTTGTATTTATATGGTGTACTGGTGTGTGTGTGTGTGTGTTTGTGTCTGTGTGTGGTAACAACAGAAATTTGTTTTGGTCTTTAGTTTTAGCATAAATTAACATAAGATTTATGGCCGGTCCACTTGAAAATGAGACGAAACTAGAGAGGCCGTAAAGTTGCTCTGCGCTTAACAAGTGAATGAAAAAGTTTCGGCTTTTTAGGATATAATTCTGGAGGAGAGAAAAGCTTTGCTTTCCAGCGGAATTTAATGCGCAAAATTCCCCACAACAGCACGTGTTTTTGGCAACAGGAAGTAGTGAAAAGTAGGAAAACTTCCAGATCAACTGGCACTTCTTATTTAACTTGACAACTTTGCAGCCGTCTGGCCTTCTACTTCTTCCCCCCCCTGAAATGGCACTTTTTCTTTTCTTTTCTTTTTCTTGACCATACACAAAACAAGCGCCAATCAAGGAGACATCGAAACCGTAACGAAAAACTCGTTTTTAATTAAAGGCATCTTAAAACATCGCCTTGTATTTAATTCGTTCCGTTTTTTTGTGGATACTTTACTTGCCGGTTAAACATAATAAAGAGAAAAAACACAATTCGATTTGAATGCTTAAAATCCCATAAATAATTGACAGATAAATGCTCCGATGATCGTGCCGATGATTATCACAAATGATTTGTGCTCGATTTAATTGACGATGGGGGCGAGTTGGGAAATTATTATGAAATGCAATTAACTCATGTCTGATGTCTGTTTTTGATATATCAAAATTTATGACCTATCCTAGGGGGTGGGCGGAAAGTAAATGGAGATACAAGAAGATAGTTACGCTACACAGAAAGCCATTGTATAGTACATTTATCAGAATTAAACCAGATTTTAAACACACATTTTGAAGAGTGTAAGTCAGATGTTTGGAACTCCAGAAATCTGTAGAGTCTGTCAACCGTTTTCCTTATTAGTGGTAATGCGCTCCCCACACCCCATTGCCATTGCACTAGCCTAGCCATCAAAGGGTTCCAGATTATTTCTCGCGGAAGTCACGTAGCCGCTGAACAATTTGAAAATGAGTTTTGTCGGTTTTACACTCACATATTTCCACATTTCTTGCTCTGCAGTTCGGTTGCGGTCAATGAAAAGCCGCCGCGCCAAGATTTTCAAGCGTGGCAAGAATCGAGCTGGCAGGAATTGAGGAATTGAGCAATTCGCACGTTTGCCTCGCTCGAAACAAAGTAAAACAAGCAGATTGAACAGTACGCGGAGTACAGAAAATAATTCGAGTAGCGTTTCATATTGATGGCGGGGGCCCAGACTGCTGGCTCGTTTCGTTTCCAAGAAATGCCATAAATTCATCAATTATGACGGCTGTGGACAACATTGGACATTGCCTGTAGGAGGGAGAGGAGGAAGAGTAGGAGCACTTTGGGCCTGGCCAGTTTTAAGGGGGTGGAGGATCCATGGGCTGGGCCTACAGCTCAGATTGTCAGCTGTCAAGCCCAGGCACCAGAGCGGGTTCAGTTGGCGCAGCCAGAAATGCACGAACAGCGCTTAAATTAAAAGGGATACTTTTTTAATTAAGGAAGTACAGAATCTAAGGGGGTACAGGGTTTCCTAATAAATCACACTAAAAAGAGGCCGACTGCGCAGGGCTCAAAGGGAGAACAAAGATAAATATGCATAACTCTTGTTAAGAAATAATGGTATTTATGACTCTTTTGTTCTTTAATTTCTTAACATTTATAAAGAAATACAAAAATATATTAAATAAGATAAATCCCTTTATTAAATATTCTCTATTTCGCAAGGATAAACCCCAACAGGTATAGAGAGAAACTTTCTAATAAGAAATCCAAAGCGTAATGCCCAACTTTCCACAACTTCTTAGCTTTCTCTGTGAGCCTCAAAGAACCAGTAAAACTATTCCGCTCCCACCTCAAGTGCACCCATCGAAATAAAGATGTTGCAAGATAGATTTGGCGTCATAAAACAGTTTTACTAATCCATTTACGAGAGTCTTCCTAATTCAATGGCAGCCATTACATGGGCGATCATCAGTGGAGAAACGAAAGAACGAGAAAGAGGGGGAAGACTGACATGGGGAAAATGCATTTTCCCGCTCACCCACAATTGCCAACACGTGTGCGGCACGAAAACTAAACTGGCGTCATTTAATTAACCCGCCAGTGCAGCCAAGGGGTCCCCTCTTGGTCCCTCCCCGCATGAAATTTTAACCCCTGCCGCACACGGCGACCACATGATGATTATGATGGCAATGAGGGTATCACTGTCTGATTCCCACTCCCCTCCCGGGCCCGGGGTTATGCCTGGGCTTAGACCTCGTAAAATCGTAAAATCGGGAAGTTATTTTTATGCGCTTTTAATAGACTCACGCTTAGAACATCGCCCCTGCTCACATCGTATTTCATGTTTATGAATGCGTTTTTATTATGATTTCAGCTCTTTTTGTTGCCTTTCCTTTGTATTTGCTGTTTCATTTGGTATAATTTTCATGGCTCTACTTTATGATCGTTAATTTTTACTGGGGAAAAGTTTACGACAATTACAGCGAGTGTGGGTGCAGGCAGCCAAGGGGGAGGAGCAATTAAACTGGAGAAAGCCAAACAAATCTCGAACAAGTCGTTAATATTGATTCCAAGCCAAGCAACAACTCAATTTGAGGCTGAGCATTGAAGAGCAAATTAGTATGGATATCGTCCATAATATTATATAGACATTCTGGCAACTAATATTTAATTTTTGGGGCCACTATGGGGTTAAGGGGCCAAAAAACACTCTCACCACCCTGCACAACCCAGAAGAAAACACATCGAGGACAAACTCATAAATCTTTGCTAGGGACTCCGACTTCCCCCACTTGCGAAATCCAAGGGAACATGCCATAAAACACATGAAGAAGTGTGTAAATAACAGAAGGAGCTGCAGGATGAGGAATCCGCAGAAGCAACCAACAGGAAGTAGTAGGAATCTAGTGGGGCACAGACCGTTGGACACCTTTAAGAATCTGTTTTTGCCTCGCGTTTTTCCCCTCTCCCCTTACCATCCTTCCCCAACCACAAACAATCTCACAAAATTTATGTGCGAGCATTTTTTGTTCGGAATGAAATCAAAAACAGACCTCCTCCCAGGGGGTGGGTCATTAATTTATGTAAAGCACAAATTATGATTGGGTAGTTGGAGGGCACGGCATTCAGATGGTGGCTGGTGGTCAGGGTGGTGCAGAGAAAGAAACTATGGTCGTAAAAGTTCCATATTGCTATTAGCTTTTATCGGATGCAAAAGACATTCATTGAGGTTAATGGCTAAATTGAGCCTTAGGAACAAAGCTTTCAGGTATCTTTAAAAAATGTTGAAAGTTTAATAGGACGTTTATTAGTCATGTTCAGAAGCATACAAGTTTCGGTTTATCTTTAGAAATAACACAACTTTCAGTATACATATCTATATTAAAACCATTTCAAAGTATAATGTCTGCTTACTCCTTGTAAAATATTTAATGTCAATATAGAATAGTCGGAAAATGTATTAATGCATCTTCACAAAAACGAAGATACACTTTTTTATTTATTCAATCATATCATTTTGTACTCATATACTTATCTATAATTTAACGCCCAAGCCGTCTAATCCTTTCTGACTATGAATATGATATTAACACTTTTTATACATACAAATTTGTTTAAAAATATTTCTTAAAATCCCAAACATAACACTCATTTGAAGAACACTTGGAATATATTGAAAATATCTTAAAATTTTAATACCACATTTTTTCCTGTGTAGCTATCCCATCCAATGGCATCTTTCCGTTCCAACTAGGCCTAAGCCAAGTGGAGCAGTGGCAGTAACAGCAGCTGTAACACGTTGATTATGCAAGCCTCATGATGAAATCCCGGGAATGTGGACTATGATGATGATAATGGGGCTTGGGGTCTCTGCGGTTTCTTCCTTGGGTTCGCTCCTCGCTCTGGTTAAGGGTAAGTGAAAAGTACCGCAACGAGAGGAAGCCGTTGCTGCCTAATGGCGCAAAATGTTCGCAGTTGGTGAGGAAGAACCGAAATGATTTATGACACAAGGAAGTTAATTTATTAATTTCGCCATGAGAACCCGAAATGGTGTAGGGATCCACCGGTGGGCACCGAAATGTTTACAAGCTTTCATTTTTCTGCTCCAGGGGCTGAAAACAAGGCGCCATGAAATTAGAAAAGGCCTTGGGAAAGGACATAGACCGCTGAACAAGGTCGTTGAGATTAAAAAATGAATGACTAATGTGGAAAGTGAAAGGGTGGGCTTTTAGATAAAAACCTTTATAAATCAGTCTTTGATTCAGTGATTAAATGGTTTTTAGAACCTTTAGAAAACAAAACTAAGCAACAGCTAATTTCCTGACCATTATTCTGCGTCTCTGCAGGATACCTTGACGTCATTTTGCCAAAAAGCAAACCAAAAACCAAAACCGCTTCAACCCCATCGGCCAAATTTTGAAGGG